ACGTGACCTTGCCATCATGACGACAAAGTTAAATGTCTTTCGTGAGTGCCTCCTAAACATATAAAGGAGTGGAAAGTCAAGGGGCTCACAAACACCTAGCTCTTGGCAAGAACCAGGGCCTTAATGGTGTTTCAGGGTCGATTATTTAATCTATCTATGCTACCTTACTTATGCTCCCGGTCTACATCGCGGACTCCAACCTCAGACTACACGCGGAATGCGCCACAGCCTCAAGTTGCACAGGGTGAAGGGTCTGAACTTCAATTTTACATAGCCCCTAGGGCATGCATGAGCTTTTCCGGATCATGGCAGAGACTATCGAAGTACCTCACGGGACCATAGCTGCTTGTACAGCAATAGGCACACCCGTATGCAGCGGATAGCTACCTTTGCCGTCGATTGCCGACGACTTATGCGTGCAACCTTGCCTATGTAATCTTCATCGCTCAGGCAGCTGTAGCCTAAGTTGACCCAGGAATCCCATGCAAGTACACACATGTAGAAACGCGCTGCTTGAGCAAAGCCACTTAACATGTTCACACAATATTCTCCTCGATGACTTTGGAGGTCCATCTCTCTCCTTACATTGTTTTGGGTTTCAGGTCGAGGGTTTGATGGGATACTGAGATAGCCAGGCAAGTTTGCTGACTTGTTGTAATTTTGTGGACATATATAAAACCTGACAAATGATAAAACGACTTCTCTAGAACAAAGCTTCTGTAGGTGCATTTGCATATGAATCTTCGGCTTCAACCTGTATAACGCCCAGCCCTGCAGGCTGCACATTGATGCCAGCGCACCATACCCTTCCTGATCTAAGGCTTTCACATGAGTAATAGGAAAAGAATGTATGACTAGGTAGCAGGAATTCAAAAACCAAAAATGCAAAACCTCTTTAATTACCCTAAACCCGAATCCCATACGCACTAGGCTCCAGGTTTATATAGGTTTGTTTCACCAAGCAGCCGTCATGTTGTACCCGTGCTGTACCAGAATCTTCGTGGTTGCCGCAGGGATCCAAAGACCTTGTCCATACAACGCTGTGTAGAATTTGTTGGTGCTGGAAATCATCCATTGAAGCACTTCAAACAGGTTCTTGTGGCGGTCAGCCTGGGTAACCATAACCACTAGAACATGCACACACGCAACATCTAAAAATACTCATACCTATGGGATCATATATTTACTTCAGCCCAGTCTCAACCCTTGCGCTCTCCAAGTTTTCGAGGAAGTCATACAGCCATTGAAGAAGCACGACAGTATCAGATCCCTTGCCAAGTCCCATAGGATAATCTCTCGACCTTGCAGACTTACTCCACCACAATAATGGTAAAACATGTTTATACATTCAATATATTCAGCTAGGGATTATGTACAAAGCCAGCCAAAACCAGGTCGAGTATCGAGGTCATCTTGAACTTCTTCATCGAGAGGCCAATGAGACTGGTTGTTTTCCCATTGTTCAGGCACCAGGTTTTAAAGGACATATAGAAGTCATCTAGCCGAGCGTTGAGACTTCTCCCCGATGCTAATCCCATGTGGCAAAGGAGTACACAGGTAGAGGTGGCCATAGTAGATCCAAAGCCCTGTATGGCATAAGTATGGGCCGGGTCGATTCGAATCCTGAACCAAGTCTCCCCACCCGGGATGTCACGAAGAGGGCTGTAGATTCTCTTCCAGGGGTGTGGAGTTGGTTCTTCAGGCGTCCACACTCGGGTCAAAGAGTGATCTGAGAGATCATACCATGCCTGGTTTAGACCCTATATTAAACACTAAACCCTAAACCTTAGCTAAACCCTAATCCTAAACCTTAATAAAGGCCATGCAAAAACGTACAATCTTCATAACATTTCTTAAGCTGTGCCTTCGTATCGCACAGAAAGCATACACGCTTCGAACTGAAACCAGGTTGGAGAGCATATGCCTTCCGCAGCCACGGCCAATCTCCTTTCCCCCCCATGAAGGCGAAATGAAGTTTGTAGCTTTGACCTTCATACACAACCTTGTGCGGCATCATGCATGAGGACAAAATATGGTTTTGCTACTGGGCCCCGTATAAAATAAGGCCAGCCTAGCTTCTTCAACGCCCGAGAAAAAGAGCCTTCTGCAATCTTTCGCCAAGCTGTCTAACAGGGTGTAGATGCTCTTGTCATTTTTGGCGTAGCATTGGGAAGGGAAGACAGTATACAACAGCCGAGTGCAGAAGGAATGCCTGATCATTCTAATTTCCGGAATATTATTCAATACCCTAAACCCTAAACCGACCGTCTAGCAAAACTCACAACTCGATCGTAGCTAGTAGCCAAGGCTCCCCGATATATTGAGGCGGTGGCTTCCGTAATGCGAAATCATGCCTTGAAACGATATCGTCAGGAGGGCTTGTTTCTGACGGCCCCTGCCCTCGTCTCCATGTACCATGTGTGGCACAAGCAGCCCCAAGTCCAGACCAGAATGAAAAGCAGGATGGCTAGGATCCAGTGGTTCATAGCGGCGCCAGAACTCCCTCAACTCGTTTTTCCACCCCTCCTGAGAAAGAATGTGCCCACCCAACATCATCTGTCCTCCCTGCGAGAGCTCGTACCGTGCCCAAGAGGATAGGTGAAGAACTGGCCACGACTTAATCACTTCTTTCCTTGACCGGAGCTCACGAACTGGCACATCAATATGGGATATGTCTATTGGAAGACTCCATTTTTTCAGAAGATTGTGGAGATTGCGGCAAGTGTTGCCGCTCTTGCCAAGTGCACATCGAGCCAGCCTGTCCAGCATCTTGTCCCGACAACCTGCGGAGAATCAGGGTGGATAAAGAGGGTTTGAAAAAGTTCTTGGGAAATGTAAGCCCTTCAACCTATATGAGGCGAACAATGCGTGGTAAACCTTATAATATGAGTACACTATATAGCTCTGATAAAATTCAAATTGGAGAAGTTCCTCACCTTGTTTCCGAAGTTTCTTGGAAGCTTTCCTGGCAATGCGCCCCACCCGTGCACAAGAATCAGCCTTAGCTGGGATTCCCCTAAATATTTCGTGACCTTAGCTGGCATCCTAAACTCCCAACACCATGCACAATTGGTAGTTTGACTTGCGGAGGATTTGGTGATTAGTCGTATGGAACCTCTTATAAGATTTAAGTCGTGAGGGCTAAAACCAAGACGCACCACCACTGATTCCGGACAACAACTCCTCCACCAGGTCATCATCTGACGACGACAGCTGTTCTGGCTTGCCTTTTTTGAGGAGGCGCGGAATTGGGCATCAATGTTCAGGGGCAATTGATTCAACGTACATGCAACATGTTGTGTAAAACAGTTATTCCTTAAGATTTGTCAGCTGAGCCACCATAAGCCCATTCATCAGACCCTGCGTTGGGAAGGGACAATACAAAGGCTCATGTTTTAAGTGTAGTGTTGGCTTATGCGCACATGCAAGAGTTTCACGATCCATTTTACACGCGTCGAACTTGATCGAAGGTGTTCCCCAGGCATGCCCTGTGGCCATGTACCACAGTAGCAAGCAAGATCACAGCAACTGCTACTAGAGTCACCCATGAAAGTAGCGCAAGAACACTGCAAACGGGCTTCGTACACATAGGTGTTTGGGTAACTCCTTTGCGGGCAGGGCTGCGAATAAAATTTCTCAAGGCTGGGCCTCAGCTCTTGCGCGCCCTCTTGCTGGGAGCAGCAGGTTTTGACTTGGGTTTGCGTGACTTCTTAGACGAAGAATCCAGGGCTTCCTCAGCAGGCTTCGCAGCACTCTTTGCCTTAGCCTTAGGAGTAGCCTTAGCCTTTGGCACAGGCAAGGCTGCTGTAGTTGCGGCCTTGCCCTTCTTGACACTCCTGAGCATACGCAATGACCTCCATGTAGCTAGCTGGCCTTTACTTGTGAAATGTACATCGCCCATTCAAACTGAGAAGCTTGGATCTCATCACATAATTTTTCAAGGCCAAGTCCTCCTTTGTTGCCTCCACATACTTCTTCAGGATCTCATTGTCAATCCTTAGATCGATGTGTTGCCAACAACTCTACACAATTTTTGTAAGCGATTGTTAGTAATACATACAGGATTGGGCAAGGTTCTTCTGAAGGTCCTCAGGTTGCTTGGTTGTTGCTGCCGTGGATTGCAACTTGACCAGGTCATCATAGCAGGCGGAAAGGCGGCCCAAAGACTGTTCGATTGAGTCCGCAATCCTAAGTTGTCTAGCGACAATAGCATGTTCAACATCTATATAGCTGCAACAGTAATTCGCGACAAGTGGCTGCTCAGCCTTTGCAGTCTTCGACTTCCTCAAGTTCTCCTTCTCAAACACAACTTACTCATTTCTGTAGCAGTATAAACACTTAAAGCATTATAAACACTAGATATATAGTGAATGGCACCCAAGCCTGAAGCCCTTTAAACCCTATACATATAAACAACTATAGCCATATAAGCCCTACAAGCTCCACAAACCACTAGAATCCCTATATAAACCCTATAAACCCTGTAAACCCTATAACTTATAAGTATTAATATTATTATCCAAACCTTGCAATTCTAAATAGGTAGAAACTGGCTAGCTTCAACTATTTATCTACCTATATGAAGCCTATATGAGCCCCCAAAAAGTCCTTCGTGTCATCTCCCTGGTCCAGCTTCCTCCCTAACACCTGTAGGAAATTTGGCAAGATAGAGGCCGGACTCACATTCTGCTGCAGCGATGGAAAGCAGATCCTCAGCTAATGCCACAAACCCTAAAGCCTGAACACGCTAAAGCTAAAACCGCAAACCCCAAACTTAAGCCTGTGGCTACAGCCCTTGAAGCCCACAATAAAATAGAACTACTGTAGGCGAGATGCTTGAAAGACGCTCCAGCCTGCGCAACCATAGCTGTCCCGGAAGGATTGGCCGATGGATCGTGCGAGCTTGCGCCTCCATGAGGACCGCTGACCAAATCACTTGTGCCCAAGAGAGCACCGCCAGAGTCCTCAGGAGGTGAAATAGTTATTGTGTAGTTAGATGTTCAAGAAAGCATACAAGCCGGAAAAATGAAGCAGGCAACCTCCATCTCAGCCCCATTCTCGAACTCAATCCGCTGGCCCGTGGTGTTGGTGTTGGACCACGAGAAATCAAATGGAATATCAGCTTCCTCAGCCCCAGTGATTTCACTGATCCGGTGAAGGCCACGAGCTTTGGCCCATTCAAAAGACTTGTCCGCCATGGTCCTTAAATTATTATGATTTGCAAAGTGTTGATGCTAGATTGAGGCTGGACAGGTATGGAATTATAAGCATAGGGAAAATCTAAAACCAACCCCTGCTAGACATTTCGCCTGTCGACTTATCAAACGAGCGGTTGTCCATCAGCCATTGCTTGGTGACATAACCACCCCCTTGCTTTTGCTTTCGTTTGGTTTCAGCCCACTGCTTCACCACAACCTCCACCTTGTCAAATGATCCGTGTTGAAGAAGTAGCTGACGAAGTTTCTCTCCTGCAACCAGGGGCTTGGGCTCTGGATCCGGTAATCATGCGTACAGGCCTTTTTGGGGAGACTAAAGGTTAAGGGGGTTTGGGATTCATGTTGGGCTGAACACGAAGCAAGTCCTATAATTTGGTGGCTTTTTGATGAGGTTTGCTTGGTGTTCGGTCCAACCTGGCCCCAAAACCTCATGGGGCAAGTGTTCTAGAGTAGGCCTTTGTACTAGAACCTCGATCAAGTACCATGCTGATTCAAGCAGGGAGCTTCCATCAGTTGTGCTAGCCATGTTGAGCACATCCTTGCTGCACTTCGCTGCGCCCTTCTTGTCGGGCGTCACATAGCGTCGGACCCTGGTGCACATGGAAGGTGAGATCCCTTACAGTAAAAATCCCAATAAATACTTGCAAACATGCAAGACGATTTGGAACCTCCAGTAGCCCTCGAGCTTGGGCTCCAAATGACTCTTCGACAAAGCTTTCTTGGGCGCAGCATTCAGGGCAGAGGCTGGAACAAAGCCCTTGCGGGGTGAGGGGGTGGATGCGGATTTCTTGGGCGAAGGGGTGGATAGCTTCACAGGGGTAGCAGAATCCACTTTGCTGTCCGTTTGCGCTGGAACAACTCCTACTCCCTTGCCCTTGCCAGCTTTGCTTCGGGCAGGCGCTACTTCGCTAGGGGAACCGTGAACCAAGGCTGTAGGCTCTGGAGCTTCCAACCCATCGGACACCATGCTTTCTTCGGAGGCAGCCTTTGCCCAAGGGACTTCTAGAGGCTTTGGGGAAAGGGCTTCTAGGGGCTTTGGGGAAGTGGCTTCTACGGGCTTTGGGGAAGTGGCTTCTACAGGCTTTGGGGAAAGGGCTTCTGGCGGCTTTGGGCAAAGGGCCTCTACAGGCTTTGCGCAAGGAGCTTCTGCAGAAGGGTTTGGGAGAGTCTCTGGAATCGTGTAGGTGAGCGAATCCGAGCCTGGCATAGCATCTAGGGACATCTTTGACGATTGCGCCAGCATTCTCAATGTGTCTCCTTGAGAGATGCTTGTTGGGCAAGGGCTGCTAGCAGGGGAGGGCCTGCTTCGAACTGGAGGAGGGGTCTCGGCTTCCTCCTCAGGCTCGGGCTTGGGTAGGGGGGCATCCCCTAGAGATGCGACAGCATTGCCAGCAGCGAAAGCACCGCTGCATGTAGCCATTGAGGGTGCTCCTAGGATCGAGATATAGCTTATAAATTTTTAGTGATGACCACATTCAGAAGGAAATCACTGCATGTTGTCCTGGCACTGCAGCCGGGATCGCATCAGACTGGGACCCTAATAGCTCGCGCTGTAGTGCATCATACCTTTCCCTTGCAGCCTGGCGTATGCGAACGAACAGATCCATTTCATGCGCTGCACATTGCACATTTAAAGACAAGCAGCCCTGATTCTAGCATCCAACTCTCCTTCTGAGATCTCGTCCATGGACATATTCGAATCCCAGCTGTGGAGGGCAACCAGACCCTTATTGAAAGTTTCAAGCGATCGCATTCACCTATGCCGTCTACCCTGGCCCCAGCAAAGCAAAGCTGAGCACCACCTGGAAAAGCCAGCAGCAGCGAGCACATGCTTCACCCAAACAAATCAACAGCGAACCTTGCACAAGCACTGCAGGCATGATATGTGTGCTGCATGCGCCGCACAACCAAATCATCACATGTTTTTGCTGGGAGCCGCCTTCCAGTCTGCCATGTCTGAAGAAGTATGCGCTTTCCTCTTGAGCTAGGCTCTCATGTCCAATTTTCATTCGTTTTTTTAATTTATGCGAGCGCTGGAAACCCAAAAGGCATGGATTTTAATTTGCGGGCGAGTTGCGGGGATTTGCGGGCGAGTTGCGAATATTTGCGGGAGAGTTGCGGTCGTCCATTTTCGGTGCAAAATCCAAAACCTAAAAAAAATCCTTTTTCTTAAAATCCATGAGTCAGGGCCAGAAGAGTCTAGGATGAGCATGTGGGTTCTATTTGGGCTTACCAGGATTGTTCGGTTTGGCAGAAGCTTGGGGCATCCTACTCTGGAAAATGGACTTCGAGAGCCTGCTTTCTCTGTAAATGGGGTCAGGGGCTTTCAGGCCTCAAGAATCAGGCGGGCCTTGTCTCAGCAACTGAAACACATCCGCGGAAGGGCTCCTCAGGGCATTGTACTCAGCACGGAGATTTGCGTCCATATTCACCTTGATTGATGCAGGCACTGTACTTAGAAGGCAAACATGCATGGAGGTGTAAAGCTTTATAAAGTCGATCTAATTGGGAATGCCAATGGGGCACCGCAATGAAGAGCTCCATGTCAAAGTTTGCAATTGTCATCCGCCATGATTCCGGTATTTCCACATGTCTGTTCTCACGCACGTACAAGTAAGTATCTGCAAGCTTTGCATCGATCCAAAGGTCCCCCAAATCTAAAGACTCAAACAATTCACGATCACTGCTGTCAGGATCCACGAAATTCTTGTGGCGAAGATCTCGACGCTGACGCGTCATCTCTGTTTCGTAGAAGGCGCGGTAAAGCTGCTTGCAGAATCTCATCGGATAGACCCTTAATTGGTTAATTCAGAAGCGCACTGAAAACTGAGCATTCCCAGCAGGTGAAGATTCAGACTGGGGTTTGGGATTTGTATAGGGTTGTATAATTAATATTATAGCTAGCTTTTAAGACCAAGCAGCCCCGATTCTGTCAATTGGTGGGATCCAGCAAATCTGCGCCTCCCCTCCTTGTTGAAGTACTTGCCTGGGGTATTGAGAAGAGCGCAACAGTTGCAGAAAGCAAGCCTTCCTGGCCTACATGTACTGTGGGCTTACTTCGCCTTGTCTAGTGCAATCCAGGCCTGCTTTCTGAATACGTACATGTTGCACTGCATGCACTTGCCGTGTAACATCCACATGCAGCCAAAGCACGGACAGTTTGGATCTGAGTGAGTTGCTGACGAACAGATTTACTCAGGACTCCAGCATCCAATCTTCGGATTGAAGGAGAATTTGAAAACAGGGCAGTACGCTTGGGGGAAGGGGATCCCCACAACATCATCCATAGATTTTGCCTGTAGACCTGGGCTGCCAAGGGAGCATTTACTCTATGACACATGACCGAGATCCACTTCTTGATTGGGCAAGTTCTCTATAGACTGCATGCAAGCAAGGCTCCCAGGCAACAGAATTGCAGAGCCACTCGAAACGAAAGTGCCTTGTGACCAGTGTGCAGACCGGGTGCTCCAAGACCCAGACAGTATGTTGGGTGGTCATGACCAAGATCGCCAACACTGTTCTTAGCTGGGACATGCTGAGAAGCAAGAGGCATAGGGTTTGGGGTTATATATAGGTTTAGGTTTTATATGGGTCTATATTTATAAAGTTGATCAGTTTGCCTATTATATTACATAAAAAGGCTTAGGGTTTGAAGTTTAATCAGGGTTTAGGGTTTAGAGCTGAGGCTCCTTGAAATCATGCGGTTGGCGTCTGCGATGTATGGGAGATGTTGGGCGCCAGCCCAGCTTATAAAGTCGCGCTTGCTCGTGCCTCTATTTGGCACTCCCCACGAACTACAGACAGGTCCCATTAAGTTAAATGCTCCTGGGTTCTCGTGGATGATCACCCAGATCACTAACCTCACAACAAACAGACGCTAACATGTTTGGCCCTGATGCCCTGAGACCATGCAAATTTTGAACTGCTACTTGTTCTACGCCTAGACCTTCTCACAGTAGCAACTGAGATTCAGGCAAAAACCCTGCGTCTGATAAGATGTTCATGTGAGGGGAGTTCTGCAAGTCAATGGTTGCAACTCTGAGGCCCCGCGATTTCCTGGAGCAAGCGTCTTAGAAGACTTTCCCTAGGAGAACATATTGCAGGCAAGACATTTCCAGTCTAACCCTAGGACCTATATGATTCAGCGAAGGCACCAGAATGTAGAAGCATTGCCCACGCCAGCAAACAAATCGAGAAAGTCAAACATGGTGTGGGGAAGGTTCGAGCTCCATGTGAGCAGCAAACAGATCGCAATCAGTACCTGAGCAAAGGCCATGCGTATCATTAAGATAAAAGAATATAGTGTGATGGCTCACCATATAAAGCACTGCTTCCATTAAATTATGTCAAAGTGCCTTTGGAGCACCCACTTGAATCAGCCGCACCACAAGTGACGAACGGGGCTGCGGCTCAGGCATGGCTACTAACCCTTTCTGGCACACTGCAGAGGTAGACTGCGCGAATTAGAAACACCTCCCGCTACCCCAGAAAGCGTCCCCTTAAGATGTAAGGCTTTTATAATATAAATTGTGGGTTATGTAAATTGTGGGTTATGATCAGGACAGGGCTTAGGGGGGTGATTCACAACCGTGGAATGTGCCTCAGCTTCTTTACTTGCATGCAAGGTTCCGTGTCTTGTCCGCAACAGCTTGAGTCTCCATACAATAGATGAAGCGCGTTCATGCATGATCCTGGGGCACCTAGCTTTTTGGCCTGTAAAGCTCAGACTATTTACATTACGGCACTAGTGCCAGTAATGGAACAGGTAGAGGACAGCACCAGGCACCAATAATCAGTGTACTTTATCCTGGAACCCTTTCACTACCCCACTGCAAAGTACAAGCACAGGGAGGGCTCACCATCCAATCTTGCAGCACGGCGGAATGCCATAATCTCCAGAGGCGCACTTCGTGGATCAGAATGCTGACCGAGACAGCGAGGTGCCTGACCATAAGACAAAGGGTTGTACTAGGGCCGTTCTTGAAAGAGGGTGTTGCAGGGTTGGACAATAGCCCACAGGGTGATTTTGGGAAAGCTAAACAGCCTAAGTTTTGCAATGGATGCCGGTTCAAAAAATTCGAGATATGATCAAGTCTACATGGTCATTGCATGGATTCATCTGTAGCTAACATCCAGCCTCGATGAAGAAGGTAGTCTTTGTCCAGGATGGAAGCAGTACCTGCCATATAAAGATGTTGGGATTCAACTGACATATTTCACATACAGGGTAGGGGGGCTCACTAGAAGAAGCC